TCGGATGGCCATCGGAAGCGAAAAGGCGAGCAAGCACATTGTTTGCCCTTAGGTTTTGGAAGGGTTTGGGCCTCTTGGGGAACTCCTTGGAGGTCTCGGATGCCTCTGGGAACCGTCTTGGAGCGTTCTTGGAGCATCTTGAAATCCATCTTCAGGCATCTTGCGCTATCTTGAGCCATCTTGGAGGTCATCTTGGGCTTTCCGAGGCCCTCTTGGAGCCGTCTTGGGCCATCTTGGACGCACCAACTACCCGCCGCCCCCCCCAGTCCAGGTCCAGGGGAGGGGGCAGGAGGGGTCGAGACACGCTCTAGATAGCAAGCCGTCTAGCTCACTCCCACCCGCCCCCCCGACACATAAAGTAACACCCGAGCCTCAGCATGTTCAGCGGTCATCTTTGTACGTATGGACAGCTACCCGGAACCGAAACCGACACGACGCTGGGGCGAGGTGCGCCACGCGTGCCAGGCGCGCCATTCGCGCCAGGCACCCCTGGAGCCCGAGGGTGCCAGGCACGCCTGGTGCGCCAGATGCGCCACGTGCTCCGCGTGCGCCAGGTGTGTCGCATACTCCAGCCGCGCCAGGTGCGCCACGTCCGGGGCACGTGAATACTGTGTCAGGTGCGCCTGCGCACGTGACAGCACACATCGGGAAACATGTCGGCCCCCACCATCCTTGTCGAAAAGCAATGCCCATCATTGTGTCTGGTGGGCCTGCGCAGCAGGCCATACGCCACCACCCCCGCCGTCCCGGTTAGAAACCGCCTGACAGTGATCGCGTGGTGGCCGCGCATGACCCAGATTTAGCCGCGAGGTGCATTTTGTATTCTTTTTTGTTAGGGAGGGTAGCCCTGCGCACAGCACGCAATATGCTGACACCCCCGCCGTCCTTGTCAAAAACAATACAAAGTGCTCGCGGGCTCACGAAAATGATTCAAGACTTTGCCCCAAAGTGTGTTTGGATTGTTTCTTGACAGGGATGCTTGGGGGGGGGACGCATCGGGTTGGCCGCGCATGCTCCAAGTGTGGAGGCAAGATGCGTTTTGTATTGTTTTTTGACAGGGATGGTGGGGAGGGGCCCTCATGGTTCCTGGGTGGCTGCGGGTCGCCTGGGGGAAGGGGTGCATTTCAATAGGGAGCAGTGACAGACCGCTCCCCGAAGGGGAGGAAGGGGGGTTGGAAGAGGAAGCTCCCTAGACCACCTACGCCCAGAGGGCTGGTGAGACTACGGTGGAGCATCTGATTGAGGAACATCCTCTCGAAAAGCTGGGCCAACGTTTCCTAACACCTTTGCCGGGAAGTTGGCCCAGTTTCTTCAGCACGTTCGCCCCTCCAAGCTCAACAACAGAGATTGGCCCAGGTTCGTTTTCAGGCACGTCCAGGAAAGTGGCCCAGATTTCTAAAATGAAATGTTTTTTGTTCACATTTCGGGCGCGCTCAGGGTGTAAAACCGGTCCAGCCCCTCCTGGGGCGCACGTTGTGGGAATCACTTGACGTCGGGGGTCTGGGTGTGCAGGCCCCCGGAGCCCGTGGTCGGGCCCAGGAGCTATATCGCACATGGATCCGGGGCCCATGATTGCCCCCGGGGTAGAGGGACGGGAGCTCTGGGACCGCGGAATGAAACACGAGGAGATCGGAGGACGTCTGGGAGGTGGGTCACCCCCAGGGGTCACCGCCTCGTCTTGGAAGTCGAGGATCAAGGAGGAGGGGAGGTCGAGGATCGATGAGATTTGGGGCGTCTTTGGGAGTCCTTGGGGCTTCTGGGGGTCTAGGGGGGCCCTCAGCCTCGAGAGGAACTGGCAACCCTCCCAGTCGTGGTGACCCCTTTGGCGCTGCTTGGGGACAGATGGGGGCACCGTCCAGGAGGGCAAAAAAATAGCACGAGCACGCTGGAAAATGCATGCGATTGGGCGCTTTGAGTTGTCCTGATAGTCGTATTATCATTCTTGCGGATTCCTCTCAACCCTCCTGTGTTGGGTTCTCGTTTTGAACGGAGCACTGTGGTATCCACTCCTTCTTCTCCTCCCGCCTCTTCCTGCGCTGCTCCCTGGGTGGCTGTGAACTGCGCAACTGTGGAGGTGTACGCGCATTCACAGGACCTCGCGGTTTCCTAGGCAGTTGCGAGCTGCGTGATAGTCGTAATTTTCGTGGGCTCCTGGGAGGTCCAGCGGAGTTGGATGGCAGCGCAGATCACTTCGAGACCTCGCGGCCCCGTGGGTGGCTTCGCGCTGAGCAACCGTCGCCACTTTCGTGGGCTCCTGAGTGGCGCGGCGGAGGTGAGGGCAGCGTAGATCACTTCGAGATCTTGCGGGCTCCCGGGTCTTTGAACGGCGCAATTGTCGCCAGTTTCGCGGGCTCCTGGGAGGCACGGCGGAGGTGAGGGTTGCGCAGATCATTTGAGACCTCGCGGCTCCTCTGGGGTCTGCGAACCGTACAACTGCCGCCACTTTCGTGGCCTCTTGGGAGGCACAGCGGAGTGCAGGGCGCCCACATGGTGCGTGGCACCGTCGCGTCATTTAGCGCGCGATGCTGTTGCATCACAGAGCGTGGGGCGCCGTACGTCACGTAGTGCATGGCGCTGTCCTCAATGGCCCACTCCTGCACAGGTTAACGACGCGCGTTGCACGACAATATTAGGCGAAGAATATCAGAGTGCTGCATATCTCGGAATGTGTTTTTTGTATGGAGGGTTCATAGAAATAGTCGCCTTGGGTTGACAAAGGATTGAGTCGTCTCGCGGCCATGTGGCCGCCGTCGCCGCCCCGCGACTGGCTCCACTCGATGTTTTAGATTTGGTTTGTTGTATTGCAGTGTGCTGCATCCGTGAATTGTTCTTTCCTCGCGGTGCCTGTGCCTACGCGCCGGACAGCGTTTGGCTCCTCTGTCTTCGGGGCTCAGGCGTCGGGGGTCAGTGCAAATGGGGGTCAGTCAGGGCGCCGCCGGATCTTGCAGGATCTTGCAGAGCCAGGGTCGCATGAATCCGGGCTTGAGCGCTGGATCCTGGAGGATCTTGCAGCAACTTGCAAAGCCCGACCGACCCAGGTCTGGATTGGCCCAGGTCAGTAGATCCCCGACGTCACGGAGGACGCGTGATGGGGGGCGAAACATGGGGGGGGGCACCGAGCGCTGCCGAAAAGGAACCCTTCTGGGCCCCCAACGTGGCCCTGGAGGGCCCAAGTGGGGGCCCTTGAGGGTCCGAAAAGGACACCTTTCTCCCCCCCCCCTCCCCAGTTATCGCCCCCCACTGATTCGCGCCCAATACCCTGTCTGTCATTGTGAAGGACAGGATATTGGGCGCGAGTCAGTGGGGGGGCTATAACTCGTCGTCGTCTTCTTCCTCCTCCCCCTTGTCCTCGTCGCCCTCGCCCTCGCCGTCGCCATCGTCGTCGTCGTCGTCGTCGTCGTCGTCGTCGTCGTCGTCGCTGTCCGCCTGGCCCACCTGGCACCACACACAGCAGAAAACCGGATCCCCGACACAAGCCGAATCCATAGTTCCCCTTTCACACCCGGTCTCCCCTGCTCCTGCTCACCTGCCTCCTCCACCCCTTCGTCCTCCTCCTCCGCCTCCTCCTCCTCCTCCGCCTCCTCCTCCTCGTCCTCCTCGTCCTCCTCCTTCCTCCTCCTCGTCCTCCTCATCCTCCTCGTCCTCCTCCTCCTCCTCCTCCTCCTTCTCCTCCTCCTCCTCCTCCTCCCCCTCCTCCTCCTCCTCCTCCTCCTCCTTCTCCTCCTCCTCCTCCATTCTTTTTCCTGATAGATAACTCTTCTCTGTCGCACCCCGAGGCCACTTTTATGGGCGGGCCGGACGTTTCGCTTGAGACTTCCTCACAATGTATCACCGTCAAGCTGAAAAAGTGACAACAGTTTCACAAATGGAGGACGGCTCGCTTTCAAAATGTGGCTCTCACCTTAGCGCCGCGCGCATTCCTTTAGAAATGTGCACGGGCTTCACGGTTTGAGGGCGGTTCCTTTTCAAAATGTGGTTCTCGCCGAAGCGCCGCGCACATTCATTTCAAACATTTGCAAGAGTTTCACGGATTGACGGCGGGTCGTTTTCAAATGTGGTTCTCGCTTTAGCGCCGCGCACATTCGTTTTAAGCATGTGCAAGAGGTTCACGGATTGAGGGCGGTTCCTATTCAAAATGTAGTTTTCGCTTTAGCGCCGCGCACACTCGTTTTTAAATTTGCAATAGCTTCACGCTTTGAGGGTTGGTCGTTTTCCAAATGTAGCCCTCGCCCTAGCGCCGCTGTAAAATTCGCAAGAGTTTCACGGATTGAGGGCGGGTCGTTTTCAAAATGTGGTTATCGTTTCTGTGCCGCGCACATTTGTTTTAAAAGCGTGCAAGGGTTTCGCGGATTGAGGGTGGCTCTTTTTCAAAATGTGGCTCTCGCCGTAGCGCCGCGCATATCCATTTTAAACAGTTGCAAGAGTTTCACGGATTCCCATGATCAACGTTTCAGAAATAGTGTTTTGGAAGGATTCAGGATTATGCGGACGTAACAGTTATGTTGATTCGCTGTGTTGAAATCCCCGAAATGGCGTTCTGGCACGGTTCTGGACCGTCAAGACGCAGCAGTCAGGTTGGTACGTGGCAAGGAAATGCCGAGAACAATGTGTTGGCACGCTTCAGGATGTTCAAACTGCTGTCTTCCAACGAGGCAGCTCCCTCAATGAAAATGAACCGTTGCAGGGGCCTGTGAAGAGGGAGCTTGGAGGGAGGGTGAATTCCAACATCGTTGATGATTCTTGGGTTTCCACTGGTCCCCCTCCTCCTCCTCCTCCTCCTCTTCCTCCTACTCCTTCTCCTCCTCCTCCCCTCCTCCTCCTCCGCCTCCTCCTCCTCCTCGTCCTCCTCCCCCTCCTCCTCATCGTCATCCTCCTCCTCCTCCTGCTCCTCCTCCTCCTCCTCCTTCTCCTCCTCCTCCTCCTCCCTTTCTCTCTCTCTCTCTCCATCTCTCTCTCTCTCTCTCTCGCACGCGCCGTCCCCGCCCCCCCACCCTCACGAGGCACGAGCAAGGGCAGCGGGCGGGGCGCGGCCTCCGAGCCGAGCTGCGCCTGCTGCGCGGCCGCGCGCGCCAGCTGCTGGACGCCCCCGGCGTCGAGGTCTGGCCGCGGGCGTTCGCGTGGGAGGCGCCCCTCCTCCTCCTCCTCCTCCTCCTCCTCCGCCTCCTCCTCCTCCTCCTCATGCTCCTCCTGCTCCTCCTGCGTCGAGTGGGAGCGACTACAAAATTAATTGCTAAGGCATCACGGCCGGTGCCGCCGACCCTGGAGGGGAACGACGACAACCGCGGCGGCGACGGCGACGACGCTGGCGCGCGTCAGAGTTCTCATGGATGCTTCTGGGGGTCTCTTCGGAGCGCTCTCGGGGGGGCGCTGGGGAACAGTTTAGAGGCCTCTCTGGAGCCTCTTGGGGGCCTCTTGGGAGCTGGTCGCGGGCGTTCGCGTGGGAGGCGCCCCTCCTTCGAGTGGGGGGTCGACTACATAATTCGTTTACCCCAAACTTCGTTTTCTTGTCGGCACATGCACCAACAAATAAATCGAATGTTCCCTACCTAGGCTCTGCCTAGAAGAGTTCTTACTTTAGAGCTTAAAGGGGCCGGGCAGTGTTCCTCGCCCCGGGCGGTTCCCCGGGCATCCGCCCCGCGGTTCCCCCAGTTACGTCCCCTTAGCTTAGCGTTGCTTATCTCATCTTAGCTTAGCCTAGCTCAGCTTAGTTTAGCCTAGCTTAGCTTTGCCTAGCCTAGCTTAGCTTAGTTTAGCTTAGCTTAGCTTAGCTTAGCTTGGTGTAGCTTGGCTTAGCTTAGCTTAGCTTAGCTTTGCCTAGCCTAGCTGAGCTTAGCTTAGCACAGCTGAGTTTAACTTAGCGCAGCATAGCGCAGCGCAGCATTGGCACAGCATAGCATAGCATAGCACAGCCAATCATAGCATAGTATAGCATATCACAGCATAGCTCAGCATAGCATAGCATAGCATAGCATATCATAGCATAACATGGCGCATCATAGCATATCATATCATATCATAGCATATCATAGCACTGTTTAGCATAGCACAGCGAAGCATAGCATATCATAGCACCGCACATCATAGCATAGCATTGCGCAGCATAGCATAGCATAGCATACTATAGCGTAGATGTGCATGTAGGCATAGATGTAAATGTGTATGTCGATGTAGGTGTAGATGTAGGTGCATATGTAGTTGTAGATGTGAGTCTCGATGTTGATGTTGATGTAGATGTCGATGCAGGTGTAGATGTTAATGTAGCTGTCGGTGTAGATGTAGATGTTGCTTTCCTAGATGCTCCAACTCCTAGGTAGGGTCGCACTGGGATAATTCATAGACTTGCGCGCATGATACGCATTTGTCGTAGATGCGACGAGCAGATGAATTCTGGGGTAAATCAGTTCTGCGGTCGATCCCCTGCTCGTCTCCTAGGCCTCCCATATTCCATCGGCGGGGAGCGAGGCGGGGGGAAGTGAGAAGGAGAAGGCTTTCTCAGAAGGCGGCGGGACTTCTAAGAGGCCCTCGTGCCTTCCGAGAGGTTTCTGTGTTCTCGGGGAAAGCTTAGAAACCTTTTTCCAGAAGACTGGGGGACTTCCGAGCCTTCTGAGAAGGCCCGCTCCTTCTCACTTCCCCCCCAAGCGCGCCGCCTATCCCAGACCCCCTCGAGCGACGAAGCACTCACGACGGGGGCTGGGGGGCGCTATTTTCGGCCTCCAGGGGCCCCTGCCAGGCCTCGGGACCATCGAAAACGACTCGGGACAAAGAGCCGGTCCCGGGGAAATGCGTCGAGACTCGAGGCTCGAGAGACGGTGGTCAATGTAAACGGGGTCAGCCAGAGCGCTGGATCTTGCAGAATCCAGCAGAGCCAGGGCTGCATTGACCCAGGTCAGGGTGCAGGATCCTGCGGGATCGTGCAGGTTTCCCAGCACAGCCCCCCGGGCGAACCAGGGATGCGGAACAGCGGCCGAAAATCCGGCAAGCTGCCGGGGACTGGTCCGATTGGGCCTCGCGCCTTGGAGGGGGCCAAGCGGCCAGGCAAGGCCCAACATTTCGAGTCGCATCCAGCGAAAAACCAGACGACGAGGATAGAACGCCGGGGGCGAGGGCGGCTGAACACGCGAAGCGTCGACGGGGGGTCCCCGTCCAGCCGCCCGTCCGGGCCAGCGGCGGGCGTGCAGCAAGGGAGGGGGAGACGCAGATCAGGATGATGATTTTCACGCTCTTCCGGCCTTTTCAGGGTGTGGGGGATGCATGCGGGCGGTGGCATTGGGGCTTTCGGTGGAGCTCCTTACGGGGCCTCGAAACGTGTGGAAGGTGTGCCGAAATGAGTGTGGGGAACGCATGCGGGTGGTGACATTGAGGCCTTGGGTGGGGCCTCTTGGGCCTTCGGTGGAGTTCCACGTAGCCACGAAACGTGTGAGGGGTGTGCCGACATGGGTGTGGGGGACGCACGCGGGCGGTGGCACTGGGGCTTTCGGTGGGGCTCCCTATGGGGCCACGAAACGTGTGAGGGGCGTGCCGAAATGTGTGTGTGTTTGTGTGTGTGTGTGTGTCTGTGTCTATGTCTGTGTCTGTGTGTGTGCCTGTGTGTGTCTGTATGTGTGTCTGTCTGTGTCTGTGTGGGTCTGTGTGTGCGTGTCTGTGTCAGTGTCTGTGTGCGTGTCTGTGTGTGTGTGTCTGTGTGTGTGTCTGTGTGTGTGTCTGTGTGTGTGTCTATGTGTGTCTGTGTGTGTGTCTGTGTGTGTTTGTCTGTGTGTGTCTGTGTGTGTGTGTCTGTGTGTGTGTCTGTGTGTGTGTCTGTGTGTGTGTCTCTGTGTGTCTCTGTGTGTGTCTCTGTGTGTCTGAGTGTGTGTGTGTGTCTGTGTGTGTGTCTGTTTGTGTGTCTGTGTGTGTGTCTGTGTGTGTGTCTGTGTGTGTGTCTGTGTGTGCCTGTGTGTGTCTGCGTGTGTCTGTGTGTGTGTCTGTGTGTGTGTGTGTCTGTATGTGTCTGTCTGTGTGTGTGTCTGTGTGTGTGTGTCTGTGTGTGTCTGTGTGTGTCTGTGTGTCTCTGTGTGTCTCTGTGGGTCTCTGTGTGTCTCTGTGTGTCTCTGTGTGTCTCTGTGTGTCTCTGTGTGTCTCTGTGTGTCTCCGTGTGTCTCTGCGCGTCTCTGTGTGTCTGCGTGTCTCTGTGTGCGTCTGTGTGTCTCTGTGTGTCTCTGTGTGTCTCTGTGTGCCTGTGTGTGTTTGTGTGTCAGTGTGTCTGTGTATGCCTGCGTGTCTGCGTGTCTGTGTGTCTGTGTGCGTCTGTGTGCGTCTGTGTGCGTCTGTGTTTGTCTGTGTGTGTCTGTGTGTGTGTGTCTGTGTGTGTGTCTGTGTGTGTGTCTGTGTGTGTGTCTGTGTGTGTGTCTGTGTGTGTGCCTGTGTGTGTGTGTCTGTGTGTGTCTGTGTGCCTGTGTGTCTCTGTGTGTCTGTGTGTGTGTGTCTGTGTGTCTGTGTATGCCTGTGTGTCTGTGTGTCTGTGTATCCGTGTGTCTGTGTGTGTCTCTGTGTCTGTGTGTGTGTCTGTGTGTGTCGGTGTGTGCTTGTGTGTGTCTGTGTGTGTTTGTATGTCGGTGTGTGTCTGTGTGTGTGTGTGTCTGTTTGCGTGTCTGTGTGTGTTTCTGTGTGTGTGTGTGTGTCTATGTCTCTGTGTGTGTCTGTGTGTCTGTGTGTTTGTGTATCCGTGCGTCGGTGCGTGGGTGTGTGAGTGTGTGGGTGTGCGGGTGTGTGCGTGTGTGCGTGTGTGCGTGTGTGCGTGTGTGCGTGTGCGTGTGTGGGTGTGTGCGTGTGTGCGTGTGTGCGTGGGTGCGTGTGTGTGTTTGTGTGCGTTGTGTGCGTGTGTGCGTGTGTGCGTGTGTGCGTGTGTGCGTGTGTGCGTGTGTGCGCTTGTGCGTGTGTGCGTGTGTGCGTGTGTGCGTGTGCGTGTGTGCGTGTGTGCGTGCTGCGTGTGTGCGTGTGTGCGTGTGTGCGTGTGCGCGTGTGCGCGTGTGTGCGTGTGTGCGTGTGTGCGTGTGCATGTGTGCGTGTGTGCGTGTGTGCGTGTGTGTGTGTGTGCGTGTGGGTGTGCGTGTGTGGGTATGTGTGTGTGCGTGCGTGCGTGTGTGGTGTGTGTGTGTGTGTGTGTGTGTGTGTGTGTGTGTGTGCGTGTGTGTGTGTGCGTGTGTGTGTGTGTGTTGTGTGCATGTGTGCGTGTGTGTGTGTGCGTGTATGTGTGTGTGTGTGTGTGCGTGCATGTGCGTACGCATGTGGTGTGCGTGTGTGTGTGTGTGCGTGTGGGTGTGCTTGCGACGTGTGTGTGTGTGTGCGGGTGTGTGCGTGTGTGCGTGTGTGCGTGTGTGCGAGTGTGCGAGTGTGCGTGTGTGCGTGTGTGCGTGTGTGCATGTGTGCGTGTGTGCGTGCGTGCGTGCGTGCGTGCTGCGTGCGTGTTGCGTGCGTGTGTGCGTGTGTGCGTGCGTGCTGCGTGCGTGTGTGTCTGTGTGTGCCGTGTGTGTTTGTGTGTGTGTGTGTGTCTGTGTCTGTGTGTGTGTGTCTGTGTCTGGGTCTGTGTCTGTGTCTGTTTCTGTGTCTGTGTCTGTGTGAGTGGTGTGGGGTGGGGTGGGGTGGGGTGGGTGTGGGTATGGGTGTGGGTGTGGGTGTGGGTGTGGATGTGGGGGGACGCATGCTGGCAGTGGCATTGGGGCCTTCGGTGGAGCTCTCTGTGGGGCCACGAAACGTGTGAGGGGTGTGCCGAAGTTGCTGTGGGTGACGCATGCGGGCGGTGGCACTGTGGCATCCGGTGGAGTTCCCTATGGGGCCACGAAACGTGTGATAGGTATGCCGAAATGGGTGTGAGGGGCGCATGCGGGCGGTGGCACTGGGGCCTTCGGTGGAGATACTGTGGCCTTCGGTGGAGCTCCCTATGGGGCCACGAAACGTGTGAGGGGTGTGCCGACATGAGTGTGGGGACGCATGCGGGCGGTGGCATTGGGGCCTTCGGTGGAGCTCCCTATGGGGCCGCGAAGCGCTGCATTGGGTGGGGGGGGAAACGCATGCGGGCTGTAGCATTGAGGCCGTCGGTGGGGGTCCGTATGGGGCCACGAAACGTTGAACTGGGTGGGGGGGGCGCATGCGGGCGGTAGCACTGGGGCCGTCGGTGGAGCTCCCTATGGGGTCAAGAACGCTGTACTCGGTGGAGAGAGGGGGGGCGCATGCGGGCGGTAGCAGTGGGACCCTCGGTGGAGCTCCTTATGGGGCCACGAGACGTTGTACTGGGTGGGGGGACACATGCGGGCGGTAGCGCTGGGACTTGCGGTGGAGCTCCCTAGGTATTGGGCCACGAAACGCTGTACCGTGTGGGGGGGACGCATGCGGGCGGTGGCACTGAGGCAGTCGGTGGAGCTCCCTATGGGGCCACGAAACACTGTACGGGGTGGGGGTGGGCGCATGCGGGCGGCATCACTGGGACCTTCGGTGGAGCTACTTATGGGGCTGTATTGGGTGGGGGGACGCATGCGGGCGGTAGCGCTGGGACCTTCGGTGGAGCTCCCAAGAGGGGCGACGAAGCGATGTACTCGGTGGGGGGGGCGCATGCGGGCGGTAGCACTGGGGCCGTCGGTGGAGCTCCCTATGGGGCCGCGAAGCGCTGTATTGGATGGGGAGGACGCGCGCGGGCGGTATAACTGGGACCTTCGGTGGAGATTCCTCTGGGGCCACGAATCGCTGTACTGGGTGAGGGAGACGCATGCGGGCGGTAGCACTGGGGCCTTCGCTGGAGTTCCCCACGGGGCCACGAAACGCTGAATTGGGTGGGGGGGGACGCATGCGGGCGGTAGCACTGGGGCCGTCGGTGGAGCTCCCTATGAGGCCACGAAGCGCTGTACTGGGTGGGGGGGACGCATGCGGGCGGTAGCACTGGGAAGTTCGGTGGAGTTCCCCATGGGGCAACGAAACGCTGAATTGGGTGAGGGGGACGCATGCGGGCGGCATCACTGGGACCTTCGGTGGAGCTCCCTATGGGGCCACCAAACGTGTGAGGGGTGTGCCAAAAAAATTAAGGGGGTGACGGGAAGAGGGGGGAGGGAGTGGAGGAGGGGGCAGCGGGAGGATAAACGCGGGGACCGTCTCTTCAAAACGAGGACCCAGCACCACATGATGGTTGGGAACCACTCAGGATGCAAAACCGGCCCCAGGGAAAGGGTCGGGACTTCCGGGGGGGCCGCGCATTGAAATTAGCCTGGCGAAGAACCCAACCATATGCAGTTCTCAGTACCGCAGCTGCGGGTTCCATCTTCAGTGGAACTCCTCATAGGACTACGGAACGTGTGAAGGGTGTGTCGAGATGGGTGCCACTGGGGCATTCGGCGAAGCTCCCTATGGGGACATGAAACACGCGCGGGGCGTGCCGACATGGGTGGCGGAAGCGCATGTGAGGGCCGCCGCTGGGGCCTCCAGTGGAGCTCCCTATGGGTCCCCGAAACATGATGCTGCTGCGGGGGGGGGCCGGGATGGGTGACGGAGACGCATGTAAGCGCCGCTACTGGGGCCTTCGGTGGAGCTCCCTATGGGGCCACGAAGCGCGAGAGGGGTGTACTGGGATGTGTGGCGGGGACGCATGTGAGCGCCGCCACTGGGGCCTTCGGTGCAGCTCTCTATGGGGCCACGAAACGTGTGAGGGGTGTGCCGAATTGGGTGCGGGTGGTGACGCATGCGGGCGGTGCCACTGGGGCCTTCGGTGGAGCTCCCTATGGGGCCACGAAACCTGTTGTTGTGAGGGGCGTGCCGGGATGGGTGGCGGGGACGCATGTGAGCGCGGCCGCTGGGGCCTTCGGTGGAGCTCCCTATGGGGCCACGAAACGTGTGAGGGGTGTGCCGAATTGGGTGGGTGTGGGTGACGCATGTGAGCGCCGCCACTGGGGCCTCCGGTGGATGATGGGGCCACGAAACCTGTGAGGGATGTGCCGAAATGGGTGTGCGGGACGCATGCGCATGTGAGCGCCGCCACTGGGGCCTTCGGTGGAGCTCCCTATGGGGCCACGAAACGTGTGAGGGGTGTGCCGAATGGGTGTGCCGCATGCGGGCGGCAGCACTGGGGCCTTCGGTGGAGCTCCCTATGGGGCCACGAAACGTGTGAGGGGTGTGCCGAATTGGGTGTGCGGGACGCATGCGGGCGGCAGCACTGGGGCCTTCGGTGGGGCTCCCTATGGGGCCACGAAACGTGTGAGGGGTGTGCCGAATTGGGTGTGGGGACGCATGCGGGCGGCAGCACTGGGGCCTTCGGTGGGGCTCCCTATGGGGCCACGAAACGTGTGAGGGGTGTGCCGAATTGGGTGTGCGGGACGCATGCGGGCGGCAGCACTGGGGCCTTCGGTGGGGCTCCCTATGGGGCCACGAAACGTGTGAGGGGTGTGCCGAATTGGGTGTGCGGACGCATGCGGGCGGCAGCACTGGGGCCTTCGGTGGGGCTCCCTATGGGGCCACGAAACGTGTGAGGGGTGTGCCGAATTGGGTGTGCGGGCGGCAGCGGGGCCTTCGATGGGGCGAAACGTGCCGAATTGGACGGTGGGGCCGCGGTCTCCCTATGGGGCCTTCGGTGGGGCTCCCTATGGGGCCACGAAGCGTGTGAGGGGTGTGCCGAATTGGGCGGGACGCATGCGGGCGCCGGGGCCTTCGGTGGGGCTCCCTATGGGGCCACGAAACGTGTGAGGGGTGTGCCGAATTGGGTGTGCGGGACGCATGCGGGCGGCAGCACTGGGGCCTTCGGTGGGGCTCCCTATGGGGCCACGAAACGTGTGAGGGGTGTGCCGAATTGGGTGTGCGGGACGCATGCGGGCGGCAGCACTGGGGCCTTCGGTGGGGCTCCCTATGGGGCCACGAAACGTGTGAGGGGTGTGCCGAATTGGGTGTGCGGGACGCATGCGGGCGGCAACACTGGGGCCTTCGGTGGGGCTCCCTATGGGGCCACGAAACGTGTGAGGGGTGTACCGAATTGGGTGTGCGGGACGCATGCGGGCGGCAGCCCTGGGGCCTCCGGCGGAGCTCCTATGGGGCTACGAAACGCTGTACTGGGTGGGTGAAACGCAGGGAAGGGGGGGAGGAGGGAGGAGGGGGAGGCAGCGGGAGGAAGGAAGGAAGGAAGGAGAACGCGGGGCACCGTCTCTTCAAAACGAGGACCCAACACCACAGGATGGTTGGGAAAAAATCAGTACGTCGCATGTCGGGGGAGCTTTCTCCGAAGCCACAGAGAAGCCTATTTTTTGGGAGCCTTCTGAGAAGGCCTGCCCCCTCTCATGTTCCCCCTAAGCGCACCGCCGAGACAGAGGAGGACGGGGACGTGGACGAGGAGGAGAACGCAGTCGTGGGCCAGAGCGTGTTGCCCCCGTTTCGGGGGGAGCTCCACGCCTGAGAACGTAATGAAGTGTTGCAGGAACGTCGCCCGCTCATATTTCCCATCCTCTTCAGCTTTCGTTTCCTCCTCCTTCCCATCCCCCTCCTCCTCCTCCTCCTCCTCCTCCTCCTCCTCCTCCTCCTCCTCCTCCTCCTCCTCCTCCTCCTCCTCCTCCTACTCTTCCTCCTCCTCTTCCTCCTCCTCATCCTTCGCATCATCCTCCGCCTCATCCTCCTCCTCCTTCTCCTCCTCCTCCTCCTCCTGTGGCAGCGTCGCGTAACGGTCGTAGCAGAGCGTAGTCAGTGCAGTGAAGCGTGCAATGCTCATGTTATCTTTCTGGCCGCATCCGTCCTGGCTCAAGCGGTCGTTTTGTTGGCGGCGAATGGGAGACTTCGGCTGGGGCTCCTACTTCCCAAAAGCCGCGGCCCCTCCCTCGCCTGCAGATCTCTTCGATTCCAACGTCTCGCCGTGCGCGCTGGAAATTTCGACCACTGCCAACGCGTGCCTCTCGCAGACGCACGTGTGGGGAGCGCCAGTTCCGGTGGGCTCGCTCGTGATAGCGGCAGGCGTCAGCGTCGTGCTTGGGGTGGCGTCGGTGCTGGCGCTGCAGGCCACGGTGTGCGGGTGCTTGCTGACCGTGCGGGTGCTCCTCTTGGGCGTCAGGGGCGAGGCGAGCTGCCAGGAGGTGCTGACGTCCGTGCAGGACCATGGCGCCAAAGAGGGTCGTGCGGCAGGCGCTCAACCTGCAGCCAGGGGACACGATCTTCGTCAACTACGGCGAGGAAGGGTAACCCTGGCATGAGCGCCTGGTGCTAGCGCGGGTGGCGGGCGCCACATACGTGATCGTCACGCCCGATCGGGACGTCTATGACGAGACCTACGACGCGGAGCACGTGGTGGACTTCAAGCAGGCGGGCCCGCGAGGAGGGCTACCGCCAGGGCTGGGGGCTGCGCGAGGACAGCCGGTGTATCGCTTCGCCAACCGTGTCGTGGGGGGCGAGAGGGCCGCGCTGTTCAGGGAGGCGGAGGAGATGGCTGCACAGCTGCGCGAGGAGATGGGCCTGGCGCTGGGCGAGCCGGGGCCAGAGGCGGAGCCGGGAGGCCGGCCCCCGCTGCCTCCGCCTGCGGAGGCGCCCGAGGAGGAGCTGGCGCGCACGAGGCGCGCCGACTGGAAATGCGTCGTGGAGTCGGCCGCGGTGAAGAAAGGCGTCGTGTACTCCTTGCACGACCACCTGGACACGCCGTCGGAGCACTTCAGCGGCGTGGGGGCCTACGGCATCTACGACCTCGGGAGGCGGGGCGAGTCGGCCATCATGATGCGCCTAGAGCCAGGGCAGGAGGTGAAGGAGGCGCTGCACATCTTCGGCGCGCGGGCGGAGTCTGGAGGCGTGGCTGGCGGCTCCAAGACTCCGCCAGCGGCGGCGGAGGACGCGAGGACCTTGTGCATCGTGCGGGACTCGGTGGGCAGGCGTTTTAGGACCATGCGCAGCGCGGCAGAGAGCGCCTGCCTCAGCGACTTCGACGACTGGGTGCTCTCAGGGCCGCGCACCACGCTTTACGTCGTGGGGGAGATTGCGAAGATGAATGGGGGCCCAGTGCAGCGCCACACCACGTGGAAGCACGAGAACGAGCTCACTGATGAGGAGCACAGCGTGGTGGCCCACGAGATGTTGTCGGAGATCTTGGAGCTGGCCTGCACCTACGACGAGGTGGACGTGGCCAACCTGGCCTGCCTGGAGGCGCTGGCGAGGCACATGCAGTTCATCGAGCGCAAGATCAAGAAGAAGAAGGAGACTGTGAGGGACTTCGCATCGCAGGACTACTACCTGAGCCGCACGCGTCGGACTGGCGGGGCGATAGTCAGCCCGGAGCTGCTGAAGTGGGCCGCGGAGTCGGCGGCCCGGGATTCGGCCATCCTGAAGGAGGAGCGGAAGGCAGCGGAGGAGCGCGCGTTGGCGCGGGCTCCTCCAAAGAAGTCACGAAGCTGGACGAGGCTGGGGCTTGGCCGACCCCAGCTGGTACCATCAGGCCGCTGGAGCGCATGGTGCCTCGGGATCTTCTTCCTCTTCCGTCGGTGCCGTTGCCTCCAGCCAGGAGGTGTCTACCTCGTCGAGCAGCCCAGCGATTCGGTCGTCGACCTGCTGTTGGCCGCCGCGTCAACGACTGCGTCGCCGCCCTGGACGACACGCACGGGGAGGGCGACTTTTGCTCGGAGGCTCGTCCTTCGGAGGCGCAATTTTCCGCTGTGGACATGATTTGGCAGGCGGTCTCTGATGACATCCCGCCGAGCGACGTTCCCAGCCCCGAGGCAGCCCTGTCGGAGTTGCTCGGCGCTGAGACTCTGGGTGATGGCCCGGAGGGCTCTACCGTGGTTGCGCCGTTTGAACGCGGTCTGGTTTCGTGGCCTGAGTCGGCGGGCTGCGCCGGCTTGCTGGATGCGCTGCCGGAGCCGGACTACCAGGAGGTGCTCAACGGTAAACATTCGTTGCTGCTTCGTGCTGATGAGGTTCGCCCAGAGCCTGCTAAGGTTTACTGGGATAAGACCCTGCGCAGCGACAGAGGCGAGCGCGCGAACTTCGTCCACGAGCTGCTCAGGCGGAACATGGTGGAGGACTTCGTCGAGAATTTGAAGCGGGTGTATTCTGAAGAAGAAGTCGGGGCGACTTCGACTCATTGGATGCCGGGGCGGTCGACCAATCCTCGCGGCGGCCGGCCTCCATCCACTTGGCGTCCACGGCGGCTGCGGCCGGCCTCGAGGCCGAGCCTGGCGACGCGCTGGAGGTTTCCATCCAGGATATCGCGGGCTGTTTTTACCAGTTCAGGGTGCCGGACTACATGACCCCCCGGTTCGGCACGCGGCCCGTGAGGGCGTCGGGGTTGGGGGCGAACGTCGTGGAGGAGCAGGAGGTGGCTCGGGGGGCGCGGGTTTGCCCATGCCTGAAGGCGCTGCCGATGGGCCTCTCGTGGGCGACGCGGTGGACTCAGCAGGCTCATCGCGAACTGCTTCGGCGAGGAGGTCTTGATGGCATCGAGAGCGAGCTGGTGGATCGGCAGGTGGTCTCCAGCGTGGCGGCGGCGCCGGCGCCCAGGGCGGCGCACGTGGACAACGAGATTTTCGCGTCGAACAGGGCAGCCGCCACTGTGAAGGCGCGCAGGCAGGCCGCCAGAATGATGGCAAGTGTCGGGCCGCCGATTCGCGAGGTCGAGGAGGGCAAGAACGTGGTGGAGGCGCTGGGCCTGGAGCTGGATGGCATCAAGCTTCGGGCCAGGCTGGCGAAGCGCTGGCGCCTAGTGCAGGGCGTGAGGGCGCTCCTGCGGCGCGGTCGAGCGGCAGGCAGGGAGGTGGAGAAGATGGCGGGGCACTTCACCCACGCCATGCTGCTGAACAGGCCGGCGCTCAGTGCGCTCAGGTCGGTGTGCGACTTCGCGCGCAAGCACTACCGCCATCCTGCGCCGCTGTGGCCTTCGGTCAGGCGGGAGCTCGCCAACGCCATGGGCCTGCCCCCGTTGCCGGCGGCGCAGTTCGACTTGCCGTGGTCAGGCACCGCGACGTGCTCGGACGCCACGCTCCGGGGCTACGCGGCGCAGGAGGCCAAGATCGACCAGCGGGCGGTGCGCGAGGTGGGCCGCTGGAGCGAGCGCTGGCGGTTCCGCGTCGAGCAGGCGCGGCGTCCGCGAGAGCTGGCTGGCACTCGAGGGCGCGGGCGAGAGCGCGGTGTCAAAGCAAGATGCCGCCCCTTCGCTTCAACCGCTTCGCGAGCCAGCACCGGACCTACAGTCGTCTCTCAAAGGAGAAGGAGGCCGTCTTGGGCAGCGAGCCTCGGAGGACCCCATAGGACTTATTGGGCCTCATCTTGAACAGCTTCAAGATCTACGTAGCCCGGGGGACGTCGGGAGGATGCTGGAGCTCTTGGGGCCTCAGGAGGACACAGGCGCGCAGGCCAACATCGATCCCCACTTCCCGGAGCCCCCGAAGGGTTCATCGAGGAGGCGACTTGGAAAACGTTCCAAGCAAGGAGGTATTTCAGGAAGGAGGCGATTCATTTTAAGGAGTTGCGAGCAGTTTTATTTGGTTGGAGAAGGAAGTGCAGGCAGAAGGTTCACCATCGTCAGCATCATTTGTTTTTGTGCCATAACATGGGTATGGTCTTGAGCTTGGAGAAAGGTCGCGCAGTGTCCTCGCCAGTGCTCTTCTTGCTCAGAAAGTGGGCCGCGCTGTCCTTGGCCTCTTTCCCCCGCACCAGTGTGCGATGGGTGGCCGGCGAGCTCAACCCGTCAGATGGACCTAGCCGATGGTTCGACTCGCCTGCTGAGAAGGCGGCTGCTGCTGCGCTGGGAACCCATCAACGAGAGGGCGCTGAGGCGCGCTCAAGCGCCCTGCGCGAGGGCTGGCGCCAGCGGGCCTGGCAAGCGCCCGGCGCCGACAGCAGCACCAACGCCCTCAGGCAAGGCTGGCGCGCGCGCGCCTGGAGCCCAGCGGGAGAGGGCGCTGCCGAGGGCGACAGGCGCGCGCGCCGCCGCCCCTTCTGCAGCACCGCCGCGGCCGACCGAGAGCGCTCCCTCAGCTGCGGCCAACAGTCCGGCAGCTGGCCAGCAGTGCTTGACGGCGCGGCGGCGGCGTTCATCGATGAAGTCTCGCCGATTCCCCGCGCGCCGAGCCGCCCCCCTCCTCCCCCCGCCGCGCGCGGAGGCGAAGGATCGGGCCAAGGCGCGCCCCATCGGCACTGGCGGGCTGACCGCGCTCGAGCAGGAGAGCGCCACCCTCAAGACGAAGCAGGACTACGAGAGGAGGCTGGCGCGGTTCGATGACTTCTGCAGGATCCACGGGCTCGAGGCGGAGAGCGACGACTCCTTGGAGGAGGCGCTGGTCGAGCACATGGACATGCCAACGAGGAGCCGTCAAACAGCGGGGCCAAGCTGCTGGCGGCCATCGGGCATCGCGATCCGCGGTTGCATCACGCGGGGCGCCTCCTGAAGCTGCCGCGCATGGCGCGGGCGCTGCAGGGCTGGCGGCGGCTGGTGCCGCCTGTGACGCGGGCGCCGGCGCCCTGGGCGGCGGTGGCCGCCATCGCGGTGGCGCTGGTGTGCATGGACCAGCGGCGCGCGGCGCTCGGGGTGGTGCTGGCGGCCGACGCTTACCTCCGCCCAGGCGAGCTGCTGTCGCTGCGGACGCACCACGTCGCGCCAGCCCAGCCGCATGCAGGAGGCGACTGCTGCTTCACGTCGCTGGCGCTGCGGCCCGAGGAGGAGAGCGTGGCCACCAAGACCAAAGGGTTCAACGACTCGATCTTGTTGGACAGCCCGTCAAGGTCGCACTTGGGGCCGCTGGTGGAAAGGCTCGCGATCAGCCCTCCGCCGATGCAGCTCCTCTTTCCGTGGTCGGGCCCGGCCTACAATGCCACGTTCAAGGAGGCGGCGCCCCTGGTCGGTCTGGCCAGCTGGGAGCTGACGCCCTACATCCTTCGTCACTCGGGGCCATCGCACGACTGGCTGACAAAGACGAGGACGTTGGAGGCAATAAAGCGCCGAGGGCGCTGGGTGTCAGATCTCAGCATGCGGCGCTACGAGAAGTGCTCGAGGGGCATGAGAAGGCTGGCCAGCATCGACTGCGGCAAGCAGCTGCTCCTGGCAGAGGCCGAGGCGCAGCTGGAGGTCGCTCTATCCTCGGGGCAGTTGGGGTGCTTCGCGAGCAGGCGCCAGGAGGTGGGGCTGGCGCGATTCAGCCGCTCGTCCTGGAGCTGTTTGCTGGCGCCCAAGGCCTGACGAAGGCCTTGCTGCGTCGGGGGTGGCGCGGGCAAACATGGGAGCTGCGCGATTCTTCTACGCAGCATCTGACGCGCGAGGGAGTGATGCGTCAGGTGCTTGGCCTGATCCCCTCGGCAGCGCATGTGCACCTCGGCACCCCATGCAGCAGTTTGTCACGTGCGCGTGGTGGCAAAGTAGGTTCGCCAGGAGGCCCCTTGCGCTCCTTTCTGTATCCAGCTGGATTGCCAGGCCTCCCCCCTTCGGATGCCGATAAAGTTCGAACAGGCAATGATGTGCTTATTGTCACTGTCAGAGTTGTGCGCGCTTGTATCAGACATAACAGACTGCTGACTGTAGAGAATCCTCGGACGTCTTGGCTGTGGAGACAGCCCCAGCTAAAGAGATTGCTTGCACTTGCTCGTGTTACGCACACGGTGCACTGTAGATTTGGAACCGCGCGGCGAAAGCGCACATCCATTGCATGTTGGAATGCGCCAAATGATCTCCTGCAGCCGCTCAGCGCGCAACGTCATGGTGCCATCTGCGTCTTTTCAAAGAAACAACACTAAGTCCTCGAGGGCAAAGCACCTGGAGGTAAGCTGTAGACGCAGGTGGCCGAACCCTACCCTCCTCGTCTCCTCTCCCTGTGGTCACTGTGCATAGATCGCTGCCAGAAAGGATGTTGTGAAGTAGAAGCCGCCTCAACGCCAGGTAGCAAATAATGGCGGTTGGTGGCAGGTGTTGTGTCATCAGGAGCTAGCTCCCCTTTTGAAGCTGGCTCGCGTGGTGCTCTCTCGCCTGCGGTCGCTGCCGAATGCCGCACCACCGCGAGACTGTTACTGACCACTGTGATAAACAGGCGCATGTGGCAGCGTCGCGTAACGGTCGTAGCAGAGCGTAGTCAGTGCAGTGAAGCGTGCAATGCTCATGTTATCTTTCTGGTCGCATCCGCCCCGGCTCAAGCGGCCGTTTTGTTGCCCTATGCCAGCCCACTGCGTGCCTCATCAGTTAGAACTTCTCGAAATTATTTAACGCAAGCTTGAGCAGGTGTTGTACCATCAGGAGCTAGCTCCCCTTTTGAAGCTGGCTCGCGTGGTGCTCTCTCGCCTGCCGTCGCTGCCGAATGCCGCGCCACCGCGAGACTGTTACTGGCCACTGTGATAAACAGGTGTATCCTCCTCCTCCTTCTCATCATCATCATCATCATCATCATCATCCCCGCCCCACTCGTCTTCCCTCTCATCCTCCTCCCCCTCCTCATCGTCCTCCTGCCCCTCATGTTCCTGATCCTCCCTTGCCTCCTCCTCCACCACTTCTCCTCAAACACATTCCCGGCCGCGCCACCATCCTCATCAGCATCATCATCAGCATCAGAATCCCCAGCCTCCTCCTCCTCATCATCACCATCACCAGCATCGTCATCATCGTACGCAGCAGCATCAGCATCACCCTCGTCATCGGCATCAGCATCATTAGCAGTATCACCACCAGCAGCACCAGCATCAGCATCAATATCAGCATCGACATCATCAGCATCATCAGCACCATCAGCATCATCATCATCATCATCAGCACAATCGTCGTCATTATTGCCATCGCCACCATTATCAGCCGCGACATCAGCATCACCATCACCGTCCTCGTTATCACCATCAGCATCATCATCAGCATCATCCTCATCATCATTACGTGTTTTGCATTGGTAAAATTCTTGACGCTTCGCGTACCCCCACCAGCCCGACGGCACGGGCAAGGGCAACCACCAGCAGAGCAGCTGGCGCGAGCGGGCGACGAGCTCCTGGGACGCCTGGGACAACTGGCAGAGTGACTGGAGTGCTGGCTGGCACGACGACCGGTGGCAGTCAGGAGGCAAGCGCGGTGGCGGCAGACCAGACGATCGTGGGGAAGAAAGGCAACGATGGGGCGACTGAGGTCCCCTCCCACCCATCCCATCCCCTAGAGGGACAGGTGTAACGTCCGAAGTTCACACTTCGCGCAGCCTTCAGCTGCCTCCCTGTGCTCTTTCAGCCCGTGTGGCAGCCTTGCTGCCGCTCTCCCTGGTGCACGCACTTCCTGCCTTAGGACCCAAGTGTGTTGACCAGCAATACCATCTGCATTGCAGCGCGGGGGAGTGCTGCGTGCAGACCTTAGTTGGCCCTCGGCCCCGCTGTAGTTGTTCTCACTTCTGGCCCGGGCGGATCCCGTCCCCGGCCGTGCGGTTTCGTGACCGACGCAGTGCTCCGCCTCGTCGCAGTCCTGTCGCACTTTCACCCCTGGGTTCTTACTCAAGTACAGCGGCCTTCAGCTGCTCTACAGACACCATACTCGCTTGGCGGCCTTCAGCCACCCTCCCTGGCACGTGCACTTCCTGCCTTTGGACCCAAGTGTATGTACCAGCAATACCGTCTGCATTGCAACACCCGCACGTGTTGCGTGTAGTCATAGTGGCCCCGGCCCCGCTGTAGCTGGCTTCACCTCGCCAGGCTCGCCCCGGCCCGCGGTTCTGTGACCGACGCAAAGATGGCTACGCCTCGTCACCCTCAGAGCCGTGCTCTCACTCCTTGGGCTTCCCCAAGATACTACGGCCTTCAGCCGCGCTTCTCCGCCTTCCCTGGGGGCGACCCTGGGTTTGGACTCATCGTCAGTGGGTCTCATCGTTGTTCAGGCGGTCGTGTTACGTGGTTCGCCCCGCTGCGTCGGCTGGAATGCCCACCCGGTCAGCATCGGTCGTACTCGGACTCTGAGTTGCAGGCGTGCTCCCGTACATGACTTACCACTGTCTGGCAGCGGTTGGCTCAGGCGTGCTGCCCCGGTGGCTAGTGGTGCACCGCTCGCCGCAGGGATCCGTGCGCACTGGCGTCATCCCATCGTCGCTCCCACGCTCACCTCGTGAGCGGGCACTTCCTGGGCTTCTTCGTGACTACGATTGCTTGTGCTGCAGTGGGTATGCGGCAGCACAGCTTTCTCAGAGCGCTATTTCCTCATTCTGGTTTTTCAGAGTCTCCTGGAGAGTTGCTCTTTGTTATGTCACTTAGTTGCTTCCTGGTACACGCCCTGTCACCTCGGATGCCGTCGGGTCTCTCGCCAAGGTCGGGAGCAGGTGTACCTTTGCACTGCGTCACATCATGTCGTTGATCTTTCGCGTGCGAACGCATTCTTCCGCAGTTGGTTTGAGGGTTGACTCCGGTTGTCAATGACTTCAGGCGTGCCTTTTCAGCCGCGTGGATGCGTACTCTGAAGCTGCGACGGTTCGCTGGCGTTGTCAGAGTCCCTTCTCCCTGCTGGACGACGTCAGCTCTTGCCTACGGTCTCGCTCATACCCGACAGACACCCTGGGCTACTGACGCACTTCTTGCACGGAATCAGATCCCCACTGCCTTGTGATCGTCGGACCGACACGATCCTTGACTGGGGGTGTGCGTCGCGCCATTTTGGCAGCGTCCTCCCTGCTTCCTGGGTTGCTGTTTCCCTTCAGACTCCGTGGGCTGCAGCTTGCACCGCCGCCTGATCCGCGGCCCCCGCGCGCGCCCGGCGAATTCGTCACGGCCGCAGCCCGACCGTGACCCGCCGCCGCCGGCGCTTCCGCCTGCGGCTGTAAAAAAATACCCCCACCAGCCCATCCTACACCGAGGCTCTCGAACGAAGAGCGCCGACCATCGGCAGCTGTTTTCCTCCTCCTCCTCCTCCTCCTCCTCCTCCTCCTCCTCCTCCTCCTCCTCCTTATCCTCCTCCTCATCCTCATCCTCATCCTCATCCTCATCCTCATCCTCATCCTCCTCCTTATCCTCCTCCTCCTCCTCCTCTCACTCCTCTTCCTCCTCCTGGTGGCGTATTGGAGCTCTCTTGGGGCGTTTTGGTGGGCTCGTTGGCCCTGCGGGCGGGCGGGCGGCGCCCCGCCCGCCCGCACGCAGGGCCCAAGAAGAGGGTCCAAGACGTCTCTTGGGGCCATTTCGGGGAACATCGATCACAGAAGGGGGGGGCTTCAATTAGCGTCGCCCCTCTAGAGCCCCCCAAGTCGCCTCTTGGAGCGCTCTTGGGGCGCTCTTGGAGCGCTCTTGGGCGCTCCTGGGGCCGTCTTGGGGCTCTCTTGGGCCCCTGGTGGGGCTATCTTGGGCCATTTTGGAGCTATGTTGAAGCCTCGGGTGGGCACTGTAAGCGCAAAGGCGATAACGCCAAACACATCGATTTTCCTTAGGGTGTTGAAGCATTGTGGTTCCTTGGGGGCATCATTGGGGAGTTTTTTTGGACACTTGGAGTCGTTTTGGTGCCGTCTTGGAGCGTCTTGGAGCATCTTAGGAGCTATGTCGAGGCATCTTGCGCTATCTTGAGCGATCTTGGGCTATTTAGGGCCCCCTGAGGCCCTCAGACGCTCCGACGACTCGCTGACCCCCCTGTCCAGGTCCATGGGGAGGGGTAGGGGGAGGGGTAAACCCTTCCCCGAAGGGGAAGAAGGAGGGGGGGGTGGAAGAGGAAACGCCCTAAACCACAGACGCCCAGGGGGTTGGTGGGATTATTTCACAGTTTGCCATTACCATAACCATCGCTTCCGTTGTGATCACCATGTTCATCAGCATCGCCCCCGTCCCCCCGTATCCCTTTGTTCTCGTCATCCTCTTCCCCATCCTCATCATCATCCTCCCCCCGTTTTCCCTATCCTCTTCGTTGTCTCTCCTCCTCATCATCCTCCTCCGCCTCCTTCTCCTTTTCCTCGTCCTCTTCTTAGTAGTAGCAGCCGCAGTCGTAGTCGTAGTAGTAGTAGTAGTAGTAGTAGTAGTAGTAGGAGTAGTAGTAGTAGTAGTAGTAGTCGTAGTAGTCGTAGTAGTCGTAGTAGTCGTAGTAGTCGTAGTAGTAGTAGTAGTAGTAGTAGTAGTAGTAGTAGTAGTAGTAGTAGTAGTAGTAGTAGTAGTAGTAGTAGTAGTAGTAGGTAGGAGGAGTAGGAGTAGGAGTAGGAGTAGGAGTAGGAGTAGGAGTAGAGTAGGAGTAGGAGTAGGAGTAGGAGTAGTAGTAGTAGT